TATTGTCTCGATCTCGTCTCTTATACCAATGAATCTTTCTAATATGATTCATCAAATACACGTCTTCTTTTATGAATAAAAATTGATTAAAATCTACGAGCTTCAATAAATAGAATAATCTCACCTTTCAATCATAAAAGTATATAATGAAGTACCGGTATATAGTGAAAGGAAATCAAAGTTATCTAAAAATGAATGAGACACGAGGTTACAAATACAAGCTCATCCAGTGACATAGAAATAAATGTCAGAACATAAATAATGATCTATAATTAATAGGCCACTGAAAATAGACGATAAGACGACGATTATAGATCAATCAACACGAAGATTAAAGTTTAGTCAAATAACTCTATTGGAAACTATGGTCGGTTTATCAGCGGCCATTTAATTGTTGGTAGGCAGTGATTTTAACCAGGTTATGATAGGTCATAAGGAAAGGATAAGAGGCAGCTTTGGTTGGAAATACATTTGATGTTTTCTAACTCTATATAAGTGGACATCATCATGAAAATTATCATCCGTGACCTATAACTATAAAAGTTGAACCCTATATGCCTTACAAATATACGTACGGTCCATTTTGGCTAAATAAAATTTCTACACGTAACATATATAAAAAATGAGAAAGTTTTTTCAAAACCGTTATTGGAACTGCCGTTTACCCGCAACAGCAACAGGACATTCTGTTATGGTCCATTGCTGCGAAGCTGCGAATTGCTTGCTTATTTTTCAGTTAACTTATTTATATCCTTCGGAGACTTGACCAGCAAATGAGTATAATTTGTAATTTTAATTTGATGAAAATAACTCGGTGCTGCATGAGAAACCGAAAAGTCCAGTGAAACTCACAATTTTTTCAGAAAATCTAACAGCAAATTTTTAAATGTTACGAAATCTTTCGTCCCGTCTGAGAAATACAATCGAACAGTTCCGAAATTTGAAAATTTCTACCGATCAAGTTTGTCAAAAAATTTCCTTGATCATGACGAAACATAGACCGGCAATTAACTAACGAAGAAAAAATTTTACAAAAAACGGGAGTCAATTCAACAATGTAGCTTTCCTTTTTAAGACATCTTTATAAAATATATGAAATACCTACCTGTAACTTATTAAACGAATTACCATCTTTTACACAATATGAAAGACGAAGAAATTATAATACACAATATTTACAAAAATGTTACGCTGTTAGATCCTCAACAGCTACCACCGCCTATGAAGTGCGTCGCAGAATTTACTCAGCTTGCTGGGGTTCGAACCCACAAACTTGAAGCTCACATCTCGGTGTCTTTTAACTACTCGACAATAGCAACGATGACATATGATTAGTAAACCCTTCAGTCGTTAGTAACGAACTAGCGATGTTAAGAAATATTAGTTGGCTCATTAGCTACCAGCGTGACGTTCGCCCGCAAGAACCGATGTCCCATGACACACTTATGATATTGAGTGTTTGCCGGGTACTCACATACTCGTGAGCTCAATATCAAGAGCCGGGTACTCACATACTCGTGAGCTCAATATCAAGAGCCTGGATGATGCACGGGATGGAGTAAGAAATTACGGGAAGAAAAGGGGATGAGGCCCGGGAAGGAAAGAAAAATCATAGAAAGGAGAGGAATGTTCAAAGGAAGAAGGGAATGATTAAAAAAGAAGGGGAGAGGACAGAGGAAGGAGGGGAATGATCAGGGAATGTAAGAGGAAGGAGGGGAGTGTAGCATGAGAAGGAGAAGGAAGATATGGAGAATGAGAATGGTATATAGCCAGTTCGTTGAGCGCGATTGGAAAACACAAGAAAAATCGCAATGATGGCGAATATTAAAAAGAGAAGGAACGAGAACAATTAAGGAGAACATTAAGCAATAGGAAAAATCCGATTACAAATTACGGAGCATTTAGAAAGAGGAATAGCGCAAAACGATAAATATTTCAAAGAAGGCACAATTTAAGAAGAGAATAACCATTTAGTGACACGTTACGTAAGCAAACATAACGCGGAGAAAGATATTTCGTTGGAGCAAAACATGTCATCAACACGTTCAGACGAATCGAAGACAAGTTAACAACATGTTATAAATATGTTATGACGAATCGAAGACAAGTTACATGTTATAAACACGTTATGACGAATCGAAGACAAGTTATAACATGTCATCAACACGTTCATACAAATCGAAGACAAGTTACGACATGTCATAAACACGTTCAGACGAATCAACGACAAGTTAACAACATAAAGATGACACAGAAATTGAACAAAGAGGTCACGAACCCCGAGTTGTTTATAAGATAGGAGAGTTGTTTATAAGATAGGAATACAAGTATAGAAACAAGATAAAAAACATTTATATACATGAAAAGATGAAAAGCGAGAAGCAGAGGATGAGGACTCGCAGTGAAGGATGCACGTACGCAAATACGAGAAGTAAATTGAATAATGAAGAAATGTAGAATAAAATAGAATAAAACCAGGATAAATGAGACGGATGTTGAGAGTAAAAATAATAGAATGAAAAATAAGGGAGAAATGGAGAAAGAGGCGGAAAACGGAGATGCATGGCGGTTGTGGTGACGATGATGATGGTGATGGTGGTGGTGGTGGTGACGATGATGATGGCAGTGGTGTTGGCCATGGATGAAGGGAGAAACAAAAAAAAATGAGTAAAATGTCCAGAATAAAACTTAATGTATTTTCTTCAACTTAGGATGTGAGATATCTACAAGCGTGACTGCAAGCAGGGTATCACTAAGCTACCAAGCATTATGTAAAATACTAGCGCTATAGAACCTGCGTTTCTGCCATATCAATTCAAATAGCTGCGTTGTAAAAGTTACATTGAGAAGCCGTAAAATAGGGTAAAAATCTTGCTATTTATAACATATTTGCGGGAGTATTTAAGAAAAAAATTTAAGAGTGGGTTGAAGCTATAATGTCAACGGGCAACACGAGTTGCGTTGGAAAAGTTACATTGAGAAGCCGTAAAATAGGGTAAAAATTTTGCAATTTATAACAGATTTGCGGGAGTATTTAAGAAAACAATTTAAAATTGGGTTGAAGCTATAATGTCAACGGGCAACACGAGTTGAAGAGCAAGAAGTTCAGGTTCAGTTCAACACAAGACACAAGCTTTAGGCTTTAATAAATCTGCGAGATATGAGAATAGCAAACAATAAGATTCTACTTTACCTAATACAATACTAAGCAATAATAAAGCTGGTTAACCTTATACGATAATGCACAATAAGAAAGCTCAGTTACCTTACACAAAATTAAGCATCAATAAATCTGGTTTATCCGATATACTACTAATATTACTATAGAATGATGAAGTATTTTACCTTGTTCAATAGTACTCAATAATATGGGTAGTTTAGCTTCATTCAAATACTATTATAGGATGACGTAATAAGTGAAACATGATTTGCACAAGTGAAAACTCTTCTTTGGTATCTCATATAGAACGATGAATATGTTTTAAAGTAGCAAAACGTATATTAATCTGTAAAATACCTCAAATTTAATCGAAATATAAAGTAAGTATTACCATAAACTACAATATAATATAAGTAATAAAATGAGCATTAACTTATTTATACTAAAAAGTTTAGAATACGTCGAAAAATAGGATTTGAAGTAGTGAATTTAAAGTTAAACAACGAATTACTAATAAAATAATTTCATTTTTCAAATACATGTAAGATTATAAATTGTGTTGACTGAATTCTATTCGTAAGGTGAATAAAAAAATTAAGAAACTAAAAGCTGATAAAAAGTCTAACTATATAATAACTACACTACCACGCCACAACTCAAGTGACCATGGTTGAACTATACAAGGTTGACACACGAGAAGTTCCGTCTTTAAGTCCAGCTTTCTTGTTACGTCACGTAGATCGAGAAACGTAAACAAACCCGTCATTCCCATGACGGATTGGTTGACTGGTTTGATCACATTTCGGTGATTGGTTAATGCCCGTGACGTCACTGAGATCAGTGACGTCACGGGCGAACAACAAACTACATCCACAAAAAATGAGCTTCTCATGGGTCAACCTTTTACTAGTTCAACCATGCAAGTGACCACCCCAGCCACGTCACTACAATCAACGTCAAACCATCGGTAGATAACGCCACTCAACACACTAGCTAACAATAACTAACTATTAATAACTATCTAATTATCAACTAGTCAATAATAACGATTTCGTCATTTTATGAGGAGAGTTCATCAGAGAGCGATGTGAGAAATTGGCAGGATTGCTAAAAACACTCATGATTGGCAACTAAATTTCAGGCTTCGGTAAGTTATTGATTTTGGTTCCGGGCACTAATGAGAAGTAACCATTACTGGTGTAAGAAGTTAATTATTAAATGAATTTATAACGAATATTGGCGGTACCGCGATTACCGGGACAGTCGAGACCAGAGCTTACGATGAAATTGTAACGCAAAATCGCGATTTTCGTTTATTCACATCAAGGAATTTATTGTATGCACGTTAACTGACCATTAGTGGACATTAAAGACGACTTAGTTTATTTACTGGACAATAGTGGATGTTTACGGCATGTCAAAGCTTTTATCTTGGCATTAATACGAGCGCGGGTTCGACGGGGTTAACGGGTTGGGGATCTTAGGGTTGAGAACCCGTCAACAAGGCTTAGGGGTTGAGGGTTTACTTTAGTCACGTCTAAGGCAGGATCAATCTTTGATCATCTGCGTATCAATCAATGATCGGGCCACGACCTAGCAGTGATCGAGCATTGATCTAGCTCTTATCTTAACATGATCAAGCATTGATCTAGCATCAAACTCGCCTTAATCCTAATGAGATCTAGCCTTAATCTTAATATGATCAAGCATTGATCTAGCCTTACCCTAATGTGATCTAGCCCTAATCCTAACATGATCAAGCATTGATCTAGCCTTAATCCTAATGTGATCTAGCCCTAATCTTAAGATGATCAAGCCGTGATCTAGCTCTGCAACTCACGAGCTGGCGTGATCGCCGTGTCCGTCGCCGTGGTCCATGCCCTTCCAGATTCCCGAGTTGTTCATCTCCTCAGAGATGTTGATGTTCACGGGCACCCGCATGACGTTGCCGTTAGCAAGAGGGATGGTCATCATGCCCTGCGAGTGCAGGGGAGGACAGTTTAAGTGCCTCAGTACATCGGTATCGGATATGCGGTCAATGTAGCTGTGTCACTCACTTCCTGTAATGCTATACAGTCTATGTCTAATTAGTGTAATGCTACCTGCAGCATGTGCTACGGTGTCTCAGTGTAACGCTACACAGCCTGTGTCTCAGTGTGCCTCAGTGTAACGCTATACAGCCTGTGTCTCAGTGTAACGTACCAACTGGAAAAGAGAGATTATTTCACTTTCTCACGCAAAATTAACCTATAAGTCGCTGGAGTCACGGCAGTTTATCTTGTGGATGAAAATCATCCTACGCTTGAACGGTGGGAAGAGCAAAGATAACTGCTTAAAAAAAATCAAGTGATATCTGTGGACACCAAAAATACAAAAACCTATAAAGATATAATACACGGATGGGCACAGTATATATCTATTGATTCCTAATATACGCAAACCACTTGGTGGTGGTGATGATACTAATTGTTAGTCGGCAGTGATTTCTAATAGTTAATCACAAACTGTCAGTGTAGTTTCAAAAGTTAATGAACAACAGAAGTGTTACAACACACATTCACTCCATACCGTCATTCACTAAAACTACTCATGAATGAACTCGCAACTCACGCAAGTTTGTCGATGATACGACTGGGAACGCAGACGCTTTTAGAGACACAATAATTCAAGTGAAGTAAAAGTGTAAATTCTCTAAACGGAATGATAGAACAAAACATTTTTGGTTTTAATCAGTTAAGGTTTTCTTGAACCTGAAGGCAGTTCAAACTTCTCTGAGGTATAGGTTAGAGAAAAAAAAAATAAAATTTTATCCCGTCTAACGGTTTACATTCCATTAAAATGCAGCTTATATAATAAAAAAATAGTTCCAGATTCGATTCAACAGCCGTGGTCTTTGTGGTCTCAACGCAACTTTAATCCTCACCTCAGCTCGACACTTCACGCGCTACTAAAGGACAACCGACAAATTCCGCAACTTCAAACCTAACCTCAGCTCGACACTTCACGCGCTACTAAAGCAGAAATAACAGTTTCTTTTATTTGAATTTAGAAAGAACATCACTTTCCAAGCGACTGTTCTTGCACTTTATATTAACTTTGTAGTCAGCATCATAGTTGCTACGGTAATCACGAGAACAGTTTTCTTAGCACACATGAGCCAACTTGAAATAAGAGTCGCAAAAAAGACTCGCGCATCTCTGCCATTCTTTGATTGGTAATCATTGAACTAAAATCTAGCCTAGGAGCTACATGGACGGGTCTCAAAAGCTCCTGTAATCATCAAACAAGGAGAAAATCTAGCCTACATCGCCGTCCTTGCTTGCTTTATTTCACTGGTGTGTATAATGAATCCAGGATCAAATTAATGATTGTGGTTGATTATTATTCACTGCAATTAAGGTGAATATTCTGGATATCGTTATCTTTATTAAATTTGCAAAACAAATATGTATTTATTCTGTCTACATCTCACATATTCGTTCATTATTTATAAAGCGGCACTTAGCTCAATGAACGAATATAAATGGGCCTCTATACGTAGAGCTCTACTCAGGATGTGGGGAAAGCGTTAATAAGAACGGTGAACAAACTTTAACCTAATTAGGGACATGCAGAAATTTGGAGGCGACTGTTCGTTCACCCGAACTCCACACTATATTCGCGCCGCTGGCGACAGCGAGTTAACCCTTCGTCCACGGATACATTGACCGTTCTTCAATGGTATTCGTACCGAACGGACTAAGACATTAGGTTAGGAATTAAAAGGCTATAAGGTTAGACATACGTCTACGAAACATAACCCGTCATCAATGCTATTCGTACCAAACGGCCGGCCTAACAGCGACGTTACTCTCAGTACAAAACATTTCTTCGCGCATATTTTTAACTGTCTCGATTCAATTCGTACCTAACGGCCTGGTAACGAGAGTAAACTTCACGTGACAAAGGGTTAAGCAGCGTCGCACTTGTGCCGGACGGCAGCCGACCGACGGTTGTAAGCGGTTCGGTTAAGTTTAGTTCTGTTATTTCGATCTGACAAGGAATGAGGGGCTAAGCGAGCAGAGAACTCATTACTTGGCACAAGGGTTAGGCAGAGCAGACTGCTTGGCTGAGCCGCACGTACCATAAATGCGCCTTTCGATGTGAGCAGATTCTGGTGGTACAACCAAACCAAACACGTTAGTCTTGCCACCCCTTCACTCGTTCTCAGAGACCTAAAGTGTTAGTTAACCTCCGCCACATTTCTTCGCAAAACCCATACAGACGCTAGTCTGCCATCCCATCACTCGTTCTCAGAGGCCGTAAGACGCTAAACTTGCCACCGCCTCATTCATTCCAACGACCTAAAGACGTAATCTGACCACCGCCACATTCGTTCTCAAAACCCACACACACGTTAGTTTTGCCATCGCATTACTCGTTCTCAAAGACCTAAAGACGCTAACCTTGCCACCGCGTCGCTCGTTCTCAAAGACCTTAACACATTAGCCTAGCCACTACCACATTAATTCACAAAGACCTAAAGATGTTTGCCTTTTCATCGCCTCATATGTTCTTAAAACCCTAAAGACGTTAGTTAGTTGGCGTTCTTCCTACAAAAGTAGTCCGAGAAAGACTCAAATCAATGAACAGCTTGTTTAAGAAGTCAAAGTATAGTATTAGTCTCTGTAACATCAATTGTCCACTAAGTGGATGAATACCTCACGTACGAACAGTACGGCCGATAGGCCGTATCAGCCTTTACTGAATCTTGAGCTTTTGTTTAGGGATACAGAAACCGTTGTCAATGCCATTGTTTACCCAAGGGTCAGGTAACTATAGTTATCCTATTATGATTGATCAGGCCGGCTTATGAGCAGCCAATGTTTGACTGCGGTTAGTAAGACATAAATGCAATTAACCTACAATCACGATCATCACTAAAATAATTATTAAACCGACACCGAAACAAAAATGATGCTTAGTAATGTACGATCCGCTTCGACTGAGATAATCATCAAATTAGGTTCGGAAGTTGTCTCCTTCACAACATAGACGATCGTTTGTTTAGAATAATGCTTTGAATTTATTAATTTATTAACCATCTCCTGTTTTTATCCTACACTTTAATTTGCGATGCAACAAATCAATCAAGTGCTCAAGTTACTCCGAGGTTGATATGACGTTATTGCAAAGTGGGGCATAAATCGAAATTTTCCTTAAAAAACACTACGGTACATTAGAAGGGTTATAACTTGCGTAATATTGACCGGAAGTAATTTAAACCTACACGTAAAAAGTCAAAATGCGTGGCAATATTCCAGGAGGCATGGAAAGATGATTTAGATGCGGTGATCCAGCGTGACCGAGGGCGGAGCCACTCAGAAGACAAAAGTCAATGCTCATTATTATTAACTTATTTACACGTTTTCGCAGTTGAAGGTTTGCCAAGATTTACAGCAGAGTTATAGGCGTGAGTTAATCAAGAGCGGCAAGGTTAAGTATCACGTCACTCGTCACTGCAACAGCGCAATCAATGCAAAATCATTAATGCATATCGTGTCTCTTATTTCGTGAAGCATGAAAAGTGGAGGCGGGAGATGAAGGAAGAGTTAAAGTAATCTTAACGGACTTTAAAATAGAATAACGTCATAGATTATAGTAAAGCTGAAGTATACCCATCAATAACGAATGTGAACCGTGAACACTCATTAGCGTTCCTTGTCAATATTTTCGAGCTGATTTCACTTCGAAACCCGAATTTAAAAAATATTGAAACTAAGTACCAAGGGCTAAACAGCTGAAAATTCCCATTTTCAATATAGTCCTGTTCAAAGTTCACCAGAAAATTTTAATATTCTTTCCTAAAGTAACTTTTAGTTTATTTGCATTGGCAACGAAAAGATTACGTTTCACGGTCTCCACAGAGGCAAATGGCGCCCTTGAAGTGAGAGGAATTCTGGGCCCTTATGGGTCATACCGAATTGCTACCTAACAAAAGAAATGGAACATAAACCGTTCATAATTAGGTTAACTAAGAGCATGGATGGGGTTCCGCTTACATGGGAATAAACTTGACTGGTGAAAAAAAATCTAGTATATAAGGCATGCTGCTGCGTTTAAAGAGTAAAAGATTCCGTTTATAAGGACCGAGATTCCGTTTATACGGAACGATAATCCGTTTATAAGGACGGAGAACACGTTTATACGGAAAGAAAATCCGTTCATAAGGAGCGAGAATCCGTTTATAAGGAAAGAGCATTCATTTATAAAGAACGAGAAACCGTTTATAAGGAACGAAATTTCGTTTATAAGGAACGAGAATTCATTTATAAGGAACGTGAATTCATTTATAATTAACGACAATTCGTTCATAAAGAATTAGAATTTATGAGGGACTAATGATTGACTAGATTTCGTTTACGAAAAATAAAACTCCGTTTATAATTGAAATTCATTAATAATTTTCCTGGAATATGATTGTTGTGGCGCGCAATACTCACCATGATGGGGAAGAGGATGGAGGTCTGACTGAAGCTCTTGATGACCCAGAGGACGACCAGACACACCAGCTGGATGAGGGTGAACAGGTGCACCTTCTTCAGGGGTACCTGGACCAGAAAATGGTGCGTGATATTCATTGTATGGTGCATGGTATTCATTATATACTATGACCGTGACATTCATCATGCGACATGACCATGACATTCACGAGTCATCCAAAGCTTGATGCGTTGTCAAGACCAAGCATCGCTGTCGCTAGCAAACGAACGGAAGTATTTCTGAATAAAATTCACTTTTTAATCGTGGAGGCAGCTCATTCATATTATTCATTCATAAAGGAATTGATGAGCATGTGCTGGTGTGACAGTAGCAACGTGAGATTTGACATTTACCCTAATTATCAGTTACCTGTCTGAAGTATCGGTTAACAGTTTTATATACCAATTACCAGTCCGATATACCAATTACCTGTCTTAGCTACCAGTTACTAATCTGATATACCAATTACCTGTCTTAGCTACCAGTTACTAATGGGGGAAATTGGGGGGAATGAGATGACAGATTGTGTTACGCGGTTCTCTCTGCACACACAGGATAAAGGGGGTAATTGGGGGAAATGAGATGAAACAAACTACAAATGCGGGGCAATGAGATAACAGATTGAGGTAAAGAAGATGAAATAAAGGCAAACTCTTAGGGAGATAAATTGAGATAAGTGTACGGGTTACCACCACCTATAGATCAACAATTGAAATGAACAGCGAATTCCGAGATCAACTATAATGCCATCGTCAAAAAATGTAATGACCAACAGGTGCCATAGCCAAAAAATGACATGAAAGTCATTACAAAAAAGTATCATTACCAACAAATACCAGTGTGAACGAGGAACATCGTTCACTAATTTATTCAATGTGCATTTTCTTGTGACGAAATTATTCTATTACGTCTGGCGAAGCCGCGCCAGTGACATGCGAGTCAGACCTAAAGCAGTTGGAACTGTCTAGTACTAGGTCAGGTCTGAGCGTCTGTGCGTCAAGTAGTTAGTCGTGTCCCGCCAGCCCTATAGTGAGGTTCATACCTGAACCCGCTCAGCTCTGTTAACTCTCAACATTCTTTGCTTAACGCTGGAGCTGTGGCTGTGCCGTGAGAACTTAGTCTTACCTGCTACCGTTCGCCTATGTGAAGTAACGTAACCTTAACTACGTGCATTAATGCTGTGCAATAGTAAATGAATTGAACCAATTTGAACGTCTCTTAGAATAGTCATTTTAGTCGGAATTCGTGCTTCCCTTTACCATGTTTTACTGATTTTAAACTAAGTGATTGAATAAACTATTTTAAGTGTGCTTTGTCGTGATTATATTCCATCGCCACTGAACCGGCTTTACTGACGATGACTAGGAGAGTTGAACGGCATTGTAGGTTAGATGAACGAGCACAGTAGCCTGGAATTTATTCATATATTGTCCTGGCCTATGAGCGGTGAGCATTCGATCCTGATTGTGAATTACAGGCCTAACGTTTAGATTGGCTTGTAGTAGCTCTGGCCGGTGACACCAGTAACAACAAAAACTCCAAAAAAATACGCACTGGACGCCCAAGAATTGAGGCTTCTCCCCGGGGGCAGCGCACTCGCTCTCCTGCTTCAGGGAGTTGACGTGGTTGATGGACAGCACCGTGGCGGCCACGAACCACGGCAGACCCATGATAGAGTTGATCATGATGAGCACAGCTACGCAGAACAGGTCCAGGTGATACCCTCCGCCTTTCTGGGGACAGAGTGAGTAAGATGAGTACCGTACAGCCACGCAAAACAGGTCCAGGTGATACCCTCCACCTTTCTGGGGACAGAGTGAGTAAGATGAGTACCGTACAGCCACGCAAAACAGGTCCAGGGGATACCCTCCACCTTTCTGGGGACAGAGTGAGTAAGATGAGTACCGTACAGCCACGCAAAACAGGTCCAGGGGATACCCTCCACCTTTCTGGGGACAGAGTGAGTAAGATGAGTACCGTACAGCCACGCAAAACAGGTCCAGGGGATACCCTCCACCTTTCTGGGGACAGAGTGAGTAAGATGAGTACCGTACAGCCACGCAAAACAGGTCCAGGGGATACCCTCCACCTTTCTGGGGACAGAGTGAGTAAGATGAGTACCGTACAGCCACGCAAAACAGGTCCAGGGGATACCCTCCACCTTTCTGGGGACAGAGTGAGTAAGANGGTGTAGGGTGTTAGATCAACCTTCAAGTGGTGTAGGGTGTTAGATCAACCTTCAAGTGGTGTAGGGTGTTAGATCAACCTTCAAGTGGTGTAGGGTGTTGGATCAAAATGTAAAGATAATCATAATCGCGTGATTAGTATCATCTTCCACGACTTAAATAGGTTCATGCAACGCGGCTGAAGTATTTTGTGTGGCAATTGATGTCACTTGTTTGCTTAAAACCGCAAGTTTATTAAAAATATGTAAGCAAAAAATAGTCCACAAAAATTCATATCTTTATAGAAAACATTTCGGATTCCAACTCCATCGTTAGTTCGTAGAATCTGCAATTCATATAGAAAGATGAAAATTTCAATTGAAAGCACAGAACGAAATTTAAAACCTAAATTTACAAATAATAGACGGAGCACAAAAAACTATCTATTCACAATTTCAAGGGGATAGGAGCTAACAGCTGAATTCAAACTGGGCTTAAGTTTAAAAATGTACAATGATTCTAAGATACGCAAATCGAAGTCCCGGAGGTGGAAGCTAACACCTAAAGTCACTGTCAGAAACAGGCACATCACACTGCCCGGCATGAGTGCGCACAGCCGAATGAGGGGGACGCGATAGCAACTGTCCGGTCCTAAAACTCCTGCCCTTATGCTCAGCGACCCTGGAATAAAGATTGCGTGACGTCATCCCGACGTACGCAGACGCACATCGTGCACAACAATATTGATAAACCAGGGACGATCGCATATGAACAGGAAGCATATCTTTATATCTAAAGAAACTATTTTGAAATTGTTTACTGGTTCTTTAGAGAGTTAGCTTCCATCCATCCTAAAATCAGTGATTTTAGGGTGTTAGCTTCCACCTCCGGGACTTCCGATTTGCGTATCTTAGAATCATTGTACATTTTCAAACTTAAGCCCAGTTTGAATTCAGCTGTTTGTTCCCATCCCCTTGAAATTGTGAATAGGTAGTTTTTGTGTGCTCTGTCTATTATTTGTAAAATTAGGCTTTTAATTTCGTTCTGTGCTTTTATTTGTATAGAATTGGGACTTTCTATATGTATTCTAGATTCCACGAACTGACGATGGAGCTGGACTCCGAAACGTTTTCTATAAAAATATGAATTTTTGTGGACTTATCTGTGCTTTTAAATTTTGTGTGGCAATATTAAGGTAAGGTTTTCCACTCAGGAGAATTGCTTTTCTGAGACCAATTACTTGAACAAAGAAACGAATTACAGCAAATTTTAATTTCCCTATTCAAAATAAATGAATGCAATTACACTAAAGGCTACTCATCTTTCGACATTATCAAGAGCAATATCGTTCATCACTCACTCACGTCTGAGTGAGCGAAAGTTCAGCAAATTAACTTAAGAACTCCTTAGTTCACTTTAGTGGTCATTAATTTAGCTTGCTAGTCCTTAGCTAACCTTTGTAGGGAAGAAGGAGGCGCCCTTGAAGTCCTTAAGGGTGCAGGAGATGAGGAATGTGCCAAGGAACAGAAGAACAGAGAGCAGGAACACGTCAGGGTAATAGTGAGCACAGCCTGGGCCCACCATGGTGCCATTAAACGACTGTACACAGTCGTCACTAGTGATGTTCCAGTCGTTGACAGTCCCATTCCACTCCTCGCCAGCATCACACACGCATGGCTTCTCCCAATCCACGTGTGTCTCCATCGGATACTTGGAGCCGATGAGAGCCACTTTCTCCACGGCTTTGTAGATGAAGATGAAGGCGATTAAGGTGGCGAAGTTCTCCTCCGTGAACCTGGTGATGTAGCACACCATAGCTGAGGCATCAATGGCCACCAATAAGATGAGGATCGCTCCACACCACAGCCCCACCCACAGCCTGAACGAGAGGTAATCCCACTCAGCGCGGGTGCAGAAATCGTACATGATCGACTCGAAGACCAAGACCGGGCCAGTAGACCCTAGAATTGTCAGAGGTTGTCCAGAAAACAGACCATAGACCACGCCACAGACCAGGCCAGACACCAAGGACTCCATAGCAGCAATACGGTTGCCGGTGGCTTCCCCCAGCAATCCACCGAAGGTAATGATAGGCGCCAGGCACGCAAAATACAAGAAGAAGAACGTGGCCACGGACTGCATGGATATTCCATCTCGAAAATCGCTCCAGTACCACGGAGCCTTGCGCTTCACGTCGTTTATGAAGCCACCAAAGAGGCGCCCAGTGCGCACCAAGCCACTGGCTTCCCTCATCTTGCGTTCCTCTTCCTCCTCATCCACCACAAGAACCTTCTGGGGCTTCTTGCGCTGCTCCTGAGACGGGATCAGCGCGGGCGGCTCGATCCTGCCAACATGAAAATGGTAAATGGAAAATAATTTATAAGCAATACAAAGGTGGGAGCCAGACCATTGATCCCTCACACCTAATGGACGTATCCATTCGCTCAATGGACGGTACCGAGCACCTAACGGACTGTCCACTATTTAAATGGATGGTACCAAGCAACTAACGGACTATCCACTCGCCTAATGGATGGTACCAAGCACCTAACGGACTATCCACTCGCCTTATTGAAGGTACCACACACCTAACGGAAGTATCTTCTCGCCTAATGGACGGTACCTAACACCTAACGGACTATTCACTCGCATAATGGACGGTACCAAGCACCTAACGGACTATCCACTCGCCTAGTGGACGGTACCAAACACCTAACGGACTATCCACTCGCCTAATAGATGGTATCAAGCACCTAATGGACGTAATGGAGGGTACCACTCACCTAATGGAAGGGTCCCATTCGCCAGGTGGCAAGACGGTGACGGCGTCCAAAAACTCGTCGACGCCGGCCAAAAGATGCTCGTTCTTCTGTGCCTTGTAGGCGACCTCGTGGAAGATCTCGTCGCTGAACAGCGTTGCCATCGCCCGCCCGTTCTCGTGGAAGTGCGACAAACCTCCCTACACGAGGTGAGTTACAGTGAGTTACAGTGCATAACAGTGAGTTACAGTACATTACAGTGAGTTACAGTACATTACAGCGAGTTACAGTACATACCAGCGAGTTAGAGTACATAAGAGCGAGCTACAGCACTTGACACCGAGTTACAGGGAGCTATAGTGGGTTAAATAATTGTTATCGTTCCTTGATGAGGCACCGTACCTGAGGACCCATATGGATGAGGCACCGTACCTGAGGGCCCATGTAGATGAGACACCGTACCTGAGGGCCCATGTGGATAAGGCACCGTACCTAAGGGCCCATGTGGATCAGGCATCGTACCTGAGGGCCCATGAGGACGAGGCACCGTACCTGAGGACCCATGCGGATGAAGCACCGTACCTGAGGGCTCATGTGGATGAGCCACCGTACCTGAGGGCCCATGTAGATGAGGCACCGTACCTGAGAACCCATGTAGATGAGGCACCGTACCTGAGAACCCATGTAGATGAGGCACCGTACCTGAGGTAATCTTGGTACTTGTTTGGGACATAGCAGTCCCAGGCCACGATGGATCGCCGCCTCTGATTATCGTTCATCCGCCCTCATTTGGGCCACCTGATGCACGATGCTGTTGCTTGCTTCTCGACGCTGGTTGTGTTGCAGGGGAGGTTGATCTGGGATTGTGCCCAGGAAAACGTCCAGTTGTCTCTTGAAGGTCTCCAGGGTGAACTCCTCCTCTCTTAGATCCTTTGGTAGGACGTTGAACAGCCTTGGCCCTGCCACGAAAAGTGATCCTTCCCGCAGGGATTGAAATCTGACTGCAGATCTGTTACGTAATGGGGGGATCTTGCACAGTCTCCCCCTTCTCTCGTTGTGATAAGTCTCAATCCTGAAGGTCTCGCTCTCGAAGTTTGGCACCATTCCGGTTATCATTTTCCATGTGTACAGAATGACATACGGTACCTCTCCCGTCTCCTCTGCAGTGAGCACAGACCCAGGCGCCTCAACCTCTCCCAGTAGTTCAACTTTTCCATCCCTCTGATCCTGTAAGTGAAGGTTCGCTGGACACCTTCCAGATGCCGCACTGCGCCGAGTGTGAACGGGGTCCAGAGCTGGCAGCAGTATTCGAGAATTGGTATTACAAGGGCTCTAAAGAGCGTGATCATCGGTACCGCTTCTCTTGTTCTGAACGTCCGCCAGATCCACCCTATATGTCGCCTACCTCTTGCGGTTATTGCCGTTACGTGATCACCAAAATTGACCTGAGTATTCATCAACGCTCCTAGATCACGAACAAGTTGTTTCTCTTCGATTTCCGAGTTGTCAGGTGCTAGGTAGCGGTGCTCCATACCAGCTCTTCCGCTACCTCTGTATCTCAGAACCTCAAACTTGGTCCCGTTGAACTGCATGGTGTTCACTTGGGCCCAGTGGATGAGGCACCGTACCTGAGGGCCCATGTAGATGAGGCACTGTACCTGAGGGCCCATGTGGATGAGGCACCGTACCTGATCGAGGGCCCATATGGATGAGGCACCGTACCTGAGGACCCATGTGGATGAGGCACCGTACCTGATCGAGGGCCCATGTGGATGAGGCACCGTACCTGAGGGCCCATGTGGATGAGGCACCGTACCTGAGGGCCCATGTCGATGAGGCACCGTACCTGAGGGCCCATGTCGATGAGGCACCGTACCTGAGGGCCCATGTGGATGAGGCACCGTACCTGAGGGCCCATGTGGATAAGGCACCGTACCTGAGGACCCATGTGGGTGAGGCACCGTTTACCTGAGGGCCCATGTGGATGAGGCACCGTACCTGAGGGCCCATGTGGATAAGGCACCGTACCTGAGGACCCATGTGGGTGAGGCACCGTATACCTGAGGGCCCATGTGAATGAGGCACCGTACCTGAGGGCCCATGTGGATGAGGCACCGTACCTGAGGACCCATGTGGGTGAGGCACCGTATACCTGAGGGCCCATGTGGATGAGGCACCGTACCTGAGGGCCCATGTGGGTGAGGCACCGTATACCTGAGGGCCCATGTGGATGAGGCACCGTACCTGAGGGCCCATGTGGGTGAGGCACCGTATACCTGAGGGCCCATGTGGATGAGGCACCGTACCTGAGGGCCCATGTGGATGAAGATGAAGCGGGTAGGGACTGGCACTTCAGTAAGGTTGCCCATGAAGGCAGCCTCGCTGAGGCGGATGAACACGGCGAAGGGACGCTTCAGGAAGTTCACTTCGCCCACCAAAATGTTGGATGCTTCCGACCCGGGGGGAATCTTTCGCATGAAGTTTGTGTTTCCCTAAAAATGAGTGTTCAGAATATTATATTAGATGATACAATAAATATTAGGAATAGTAGATTAATATTTTTAAATATTAAAGTGTGATTTTTGTGACGTGTTATGCAGACACAGCCAAATGAATAGTAGGAAAAGATAATAATTAACGAATCGAAATAATGAGACACACAGGCCTGTTGAATTCGGGCTGCACCGGAGTAGCATCACAAACAAGCGTCACAAAAGTTTTCTAAGTTTCAACCTTGTACATGTATATTGTGCATTGACAACAAACGTGAAATGCAATCTGAACACCTAAGATGGTGATCGTAACGGTTTAGGAATTACTATATATATCCATTCCTCTCATTAACTACCTGTAATTAGTCATCCGGTGAACCACATACAACGCAATCATCATAAAAAAATATAACTCAGTACTCACTGCAGTGAGTGACAGAGAGCGCATTTTCTCGTCGACGAAAACGTGAAGTCACGGACGGACGGACAGACAGGCGGACGGACAGACGGACATGGCGAGCATAATAGCGCATTTTTTTCATAAATGAGAAAATGCGCAAAAAAATCCAACTGACCTTGTTGAGGTTTACTTGCGAGGCGGTGGCCGCCTTATCGAGCCGCTCGCCGCTCTGGTTCCTGTTAATGGATCCTGTGGAGGGAGATGTATCCAAACCTGTGTCTGTCCCAGCGCTTCCTTGCGGAGGCTGAGTACCTGCAAAAGACATCGACTTGAAGAACCCTGTAACCCCACCAGGAGATAAATCCCAAACGTGTAAGGCAACAGAAGCAAAAGAGGATGAAGGGGTAACCATCGTAGTCAATCATGGAGACGAGGACCATCGTAGCCAATCACGAGGAGGAGGCCGCACAGCCGCAGCCAATCAGGAGGTGAGGCCCGCACAGCCGCAGCCAATCAGGAGGTGAGGCCCGCACAGCCGCAACCAATCATGAGGTGGGGTCCGCACAGCGGCAGCCAATCATGAGTGACGCCCGCACAGCCGCAGCCAATCATGGGTGTGGCCCGCACAGCGGCAGCCAATCATGAGTGACGCCCGCACAGCCGCAGCCAATCATGAGTGAGGCCCGCACAGCCGCAGCCAATCATGAGGTGGGGTCCGCACAGCCGTAGCCAATCATGAGTGAGGCCCGCACAGCCGCAGCCAATCACGAGGTGGGGTCCGCACAGCCGCAGCCAATCAAGCGTAGGGTTCGCAATGCCGTACTCAATGAAGCAGCGTACATACGCCAGCAATCATAAGCAAGCGAAAGCGTAACCCACATTTAGAGGACGATCGGCGTAAGCAGGGACGGTGGATGTGCGTTGGAGGACGAGGTTGAAGAGGATTCAAGAGAAATAACAAAAGTCTTAGTAAATCGAATATAAATACACAGCACATGGAACCACGGGCGTAAATCTATAATATGAAAGCTACAGCAAGCAACTCTAGTACTTTATACAAATCAGAAAGAAAGCTGAAAAAATGATCGCATTCAGACTTGATTCAAACTTCATTTGTCACCAGTTTTCGGGGAAATTTTATAATGTTAGGAATCTATTGAACGTGCAGGAGATTCGACTTTTCATGGATGAGACAATAATTTTTATGAAATGTGAATACATTTTTCTTGAATTTTGAATGAATTAAAAAAATGTTTACTTTAAATATTTTGTTGAACGAATTCAACTTAAAAAAAAGAACTGAAGCATAGAATACACAAGTAATGCTTAGGTCGTGTGGGCGTAAAAAAACTTGCCGTGAGAAATAAGGTCGAAACTGCCTGAGCTCTAAACTCCACAAAACAGTTTAATCATGAACATAACAAAGCATTTAAATAATCACACGAATATCGGGCAATATAACAAAGCTCCAATGTAAAATAAAATATAACATAAAACAGGATGAGGCAACACACTAATGTAATCAACATATAAATAAAAAAGATATTTTTGCTCCACAATATATCAATTAACATATAAGTATTTATACGAATAAATCAATAGACTGTATATTACACTAATATCAAGTAAGCGTATTGTTCGTGGAACAATAAATCGTTCTCAGCACTGAATGAAAAAAAATTAAAATTATATAATTAACTATATCTCCTCATTTTGCACAAAATTAATATTGAAGACATCATGCAAAACAATTATGCATGCAGAAAACAAGAGTAAAATTATGAAACAGAAATCTGAAGCAACAAACAAACGGCCCTCCATATACCTTAGCAATAGGCTACAATTAAAGATGTTGTATAGGATACTGCGTTTCGTCTATATATATATATATATGGAAAACTATTCCGCATGCTGATCGGTAATCATGCATTCACTCTTAAATAGCCAATGAATATATCAAAACACGACAGGTAATAAAACATCATGCACATATATATGAAATATATAAAAATGTAAACAAGCAAGACACAGATATAAGGTTTATATAGCAGCGGTTCCCGAAGTTTTGACACCATATTGCATGGCAAGACAGAAAAAGCAAGCTAAGTTTTTACAAAATTTTTTAACAATGATATTGTTGATCGTCAAATATATACAATATACCGCATATAATAGTGATAACTGCTTAATATCATGGATGAGACAACAATGATAACTGCTTAACTGAATGGATGAGATAACAGTGATATCTGCTTTGACAGCATGGATGAGCTAATAGCCATAAGTGTTCAAATTATGAAAGAATTAAAACGAACATATATTTTCCCAATAGAACTGAGAATATAGTAACATCAATACTTCCGTGTTATGCATGACATAAAACCTGCGGTTACACGAAAGACGAAAACGCAACGAACCACCTCGGGCTGGCACAAAGGCACAGGACAAAGAACGGCAATTGTGAATTATATGTCAAAATGTTACGGATTGATCAAATTTAAGCCATAAACATTTAGAATTCAGCCATAAACATTTAAACTTCAGCCATAAACATTTAGACTTCAGCCATAAACATTTAAACTTCAGCCATAAACATTTAGACTTCATCCATAAACATTTAGACTTCAGCCATAAACATTTAGACTTAAGCCATAAACATTTAGACTGCAGCCATAAACATTTAGACTTCAGCCATAAAGATTTAGACTTCAGCCATAAACATTTAAACTTTAGCCATAAACATTTAGACTTCAGCCATAAACATTTAGACTTCAGCCATA